GCTCGAGGTTAACTGGTTAATTACGAATGTGAATTGAAGTAAACAACTGAAGATACTTACTTATTTAATGTTTTAAAATCTTATTGCCCATCTCTTCTCAGTTCTGATGGAACAAAGAAACTGAAACAACATGTGAAAGCCTTTAGGAAATGTAAGAACACAATCATACCTGAAGGTAAACTGATTCGATGCCCATCTCTGAGTTTTAAACGACTTCTCTTTAACTTCCCCTTCCTCTTTTTCACATTAGGCTTTTCCTGGTTTAACTGGAATATCATAATGTTGAGCTCCCGCTCTAGCACATCGATCTCGCGCTCTGCAAGCTGCTGTTCGCGCCGCTTTAGCAATTCTTCCTGAGACTTCTGCTGAAGAGCCGCTCGAGTTAGCTCCTCTTCACGTGATCGCAGCTCCTGAGACAAAGATTCACACCAACTCCAGTCACTCCCAGTAGGAAGAAGGTCATTTCTCAGGCATTATTTACTTACTTCAATACGACACTTACACTCCCCTTAGCCATTTGACTTCCATGCATAACCAAGAAGCTGAAATTTCCTCTTCCTCTGCTCAATCAACCACCTGGTCATTCAAATCTACACAGGACAGAGCTCCTCGTAGTTAAGAAAACCAGAGCTAAGACCTTAGACTAAGCCTAAAGCAGCTGCACAAGCTCCATCTTGCTCTTTTATCTTTCCGATCCTAAAAGAGGCGTAATAAATTTTAAACTCAATATGACACTTCTCTCTTTACCTCTAGCTTTTAGAGTCACCTGACACATAAAATGTACATTAACAAATATCAGTGTTAGATAGATGTGAATGATCCATTTTAAAATAAGGCTAAGAGTTAAAACTTGACTAATTAAAGGGTAATTATTCTAGTTACAAAAGACTGCAGTTGATATTTCTTTATATAAGGACCTCCTCAGGGTGTTTCATAGTTTGTTTAGAGATTATGAATATCTTGGTAGGGATGTTAAGGGGAAAAAACAAAGCTAATGTTTTACAAGTCAGCTGTAGGCCCATTGGAAATGAAAACACAACACTTATAAAATTATAAGATAAAGGAAAATATATTCAGTATACAAAGAACTTTTCAGGATTGCATTTATGTATGGAAAGCATTACACTACACACAGATCTTAAAAATTAGCTCAGAAAAGCTCCTCTGTCATGATACTTACTGCTTACAATTTAACTTTCCCTTGGTTTTGGTTTTAGAATTGCTGAAAGTCTGAGAAACAGAAATCTATGAATTGAAGAATACTTCTAATCCTATTAAAAAAGTATTCAACAGTAAAACTGAGAACTTGAAAAATCTTTTAAACCACATCCCCATTCTTATTTCATTTCTGCAAATTGTTTTATTCTTTGGCAGAGAATATTTTATTCTTTTATTGATGAACTACCTTCTATTCTAGATTACCCTGGCAATAAATCAAGCACTGGCATGGAAATCAAGGCATCCGCAAACCTTTATACACTGCTCCAGACACATTTAATCTTAATCTTAGACTACCCTAACACCAGCACCTTTGTTAAGAACAGTAGATGCCTTCTCAGGTGGAATGTTAATCATAAATGGAGCTAATCATAAATGTTTGGCCAAACATTTCCTGCTTTCTATATGTAGGCCACACTGTGAATAGGCCTACATTAAAAATACTGATCGAAAAGAAATACTATATAAGAGAGGTTCATGGAAGAAACTAGAGTCAAACATGGGAC